GTTGTTTGAAGCAAATCGGCTTGGATTGTAAGGATGAAAGGATTGCCAACATCATCATGCACGACTTCTACGTAGATGACTTGCTGACCGGCGGGGATACAATATCTGACGTCACAAGTATTCGCGAGAAAATCACTGCTGAATTGGATTCAGCCAAAATGCCACTAAGAAAGTGGAAATCTAACTATAACTTTATTATGTCAGATCAAGATTCGAATTCATTTGTTAATTTAAATATTGGTTCTAATGAGCCAAGTAAAACATTAGGTTTGAACTGGCTAACAAGCTCCGATACGCTTCTTTATTCAATAAGTGCAATGTCGATAACAGAAAATGTCACAAAACGTGAAGTGTTGTCGGTTATATCTCAAATATTCGACCCTTTGGGCCTATTAGCACCTTGTATCATACCTATGAAGGTAATGATGCAAAGACTGTGGTTACACAAACTTTCATGGGATGACTTCTTACCACCAGATGTCGCTAAAACATGGTCTAATATCATTGAACGGTTACCTATCTTAAATAACTTACGCATCCCCCGTTTAGTTTTTTGTAACTCGTGGAAAGTGGTAGATTTACATATATTTTGTGATGCATCACAAATTGCTTATGGTGCTTGCATATATGTAAGGAGTATTAATAATAATAATGAAGTTTCAGTGCGGTTGCTCACGGCGAAAAGTAGGGTTGCTCCTATCAAGCCAATCACCATTCCTCGACTCGAGCTCTGCGCCGCCTTGGTGGGTGTGCGGTTACATTCAAAGGTGGTTGACTCACTTAATGCACCAATTAACAGCTGTGTATTTTGGAGTGATTCTACAATAGTGCTGGGGTGGTTAAAAATGATTCCAGGTAAATTACAAGCATTTGTACGTAATCGTGTATCAGAAATAGTTGAAAAATCTAATGCTGGCAATTGCGCCTGGAGACATGTTCCTACACACCTCAATCCCGCTGATCTTATATCCCGGGGTACTGATGTTAGTCAAATTCAGAATCTTGATTTATGGTGGTCAGGCCCTAACTTTTTACTCAAAGATACACGTGAATGGCCTTCATTTCCGACTTCAGTAGAACCGCTTCCCGAAATTAAATCTGAGATTTCTTTGTTAACTGTTTCTGATACTTCAAAGTCATTCATTGAATTTCACCGCTTTTCAAACTTTTTGCGGCTTAACCGCACCATAGCATACATGCTACGATTTATTAATAATTGTAAAAAACAATCATCGACTACTTTACACCTGAATGAAGAGGATTTACAAAACGCTTTAAATATAATTGTAAAACAGTCTCAAATAGAATCATTTCCGGAATATCAGTTATTATTGAAAGGTGAGAACTTACCGAAAGGTAGTCCACTAAATAAGTTAAATGTATTTTTGGATGAAAATAAATTAATGCGTGTAGGCGGTCGCTTACAAAATTCTACATTTTCATATGAGAAAAAACATCCGTTAGTTATACAGTCCACTCATCGGTTTTCTAAATTATTATTTGAATTTACTCACAAAAGTTTAATGCATGCAGGACCGCAATTATTATTGGCTTGTATTAGAGATACTTACTGGCCAATAGGTGGGCGCAACTTAGCTAAATCATGTTATCATCGTTGTATTGTTTGCAGTCGTGTCACAGCTAAACCATTTACTCCTATCATGGGACACTTACCTGAGCGACGGCTGGCGTCTGGTAGTCATCCATTCGAATGTGTTGGGGTTGATTACGCTGGACCCATACTGTCAGCTTCGCGACAAGGTCGTGGATGTCGACTTGTAAAGGTTTACATTTTACTATTTGTTTGTTTCACGACAAAGGCAGTTCATATTGAGTTGGTTGGTGACTTAACCAGTCATAATTATTTGTCGGCACTTCGCCGGTTTATGTCACGCAGAGGTAAGCCGTCGCGTATTTATTCTGACAACGGGACCTCGTTTGTAGGCGCTTTTAACGAACTAGGGAAGTTTTTGAGGGATAATAGCAGTTCGCTGTCGGGTGACATTGCCTCTGAAGGAATTACCTTCAATTTTATTCCTCCTTATGCTCCACATTTCGGTGGTCTTTGGGAGGCAGGTATAAAATCTGTGAAATATCATTTAAAGAGAGTAATGGGAAATTGTCATTTAACTTACGAAGAATTATATACTGCACTGGTTCAAATTGAAGCCCTCCTTAACTCACGCCCGCTTACGCCGTTGTCATCGGACCCTAATGACCTTTTGCCGCTGACTCCAGGGCATTTCCTGATAGGGCGAACATTAACGTCCTTGCCTGCTCCGTCTTATGACGCTACCTCTATCACGCACTTGAAGAGATATGAGAGAATCGAGGCTTTACGTCAGCACTTCTGGTCGAGGTGGAATAAAGAATATATCTCGGAACTACAGCAGCGAACCAAGTGGAGATCTTCAAAGGCTACTGTGGGAATTAATCGCCTTGTTGTCATAAAAGAAGACAATTTACCACCACTTAAATGGCGACTTGGCCGCATCGCAGCAGTATATCCGGGACGTGATGGAATTAGTCGTGTGGCTGACATAAGAACTGCCAGTGGAACTATTCGGCGCGCATGCAGCAAGATATGCCCACTGCCAGTAGATGAAGATTCGTGTTGAAAGATGACCTTTCAACGCCCGCGGGCATGTTCAGAATCCAACATTAACGCCTGTTAGAAATCACAATCCCTTACGTCTTATCATGTTCGAGTGCTTTAATATTACATCAGGCGCCTTTTGTGCGGGTGTCTTCGCATGAAGTTACCCACATCGTTTTTTAATTAATTGTAACTTTGCTTTTGTTGGGAATACAGTCTCTTTTACTGATACGACCTAAATTTTATTTTTCCTGGTTAATCATTCACCGTTACAAAAGTACAGAAATCCTTTATGGGGTTCTGTGTAAATTGTTACAATAAAATTCCAAGAAGTGTATTAAATCTTAATGAACGAAAATTTAAAACTTATATTAAACGCGAATTATGTAGACAGGCATACTACAAACTTTCAGATTATATTGAGGATAAGAATGCCTGGCAGCATGTTGGTTCGGCTCCACTGGACAATTCTCAAATATGTAGTCAGTAGTTATCAAAATTCTCAAAATTAATGAAACCTTGAATGAGTTTATATAGAAGCATTCTTTTGGATTGTGAGTACGCATATGTGAGCGCCATGTACGAGACAACAAAGGATTAAAATTTTAATGATAGATTAAATAGACCATCATTTGTTCCTTTTTATTAACAACTTGTCTCTGCATTGTTCTCACATAGGGGTACAGTAATGTATAAAAAATGTATTATTGATGAATTGTAAAACAAATATTTTTTTTAAAAGAGTAACGATGGAGTTTCTTGCTCGTTCTTCTCCATTCGAAACTACAATTTGGAACGAGCACCTAGCTTCACTGACGAACAGACTGACAGACTACTATTCTATTTTGACGTTTCAAAAGTACCTATTTATGGTTTATTTGGAATAAATGATTTTGATTTGATTTGATTTGAAAGAAGAAAACGAGCACTCGGATGGTCTGATGGTAAGTAATTGTTTCGGCCCATCGACATACAACCAGAAAAGTTTGAAGAGCATTTTAGACCTTTTGGGAAACACTGTTATATCGCTGAAAAGAGCTGAAAAGAACTGGAACCGCCAGTAAAAATTACTTATTCCTGTGGTGAAACGACGACGAACAAATAATAAGCCACGTGCTCAATATCATTTCACGTGTGCCAATACAACTTGAATCCACTTCAGAAGTTATTTGTTCCAGTAATTGATGATATTTATTTATCAATTGCTTGCTTGTTGTCTACCTACGTAGTAAATAATATCATCTTGTTCTACTCATTATTGGGATCGACATTAGGACTGCGTATTCAGTCTTTTAATGGAGCCTGCAACGTGTTACGTGTATTGTACATCCTATGGTCTTAAAATACTGTGTCGATTATGATAATCCATTAAAGCTCACATTTAACGTTTCTACAACTTATAATATAGCTATTGTATTTTTTTAAATAACGTTATCCCACGTTAGGATTTTCTCCTGTGTAATGGATTACGTTTACAAACATACAATTTCATATACACATCATACCAAAACCCGGAACAAAGCTTTGCGGATCATTCAAACAGTTGTTCCGTGCGGGAATCGAATGGGCGCGATGCGTTGCCAGTTGCCCAGCCAACGCATTTACCGTGCAGTCATATAGCTTATCGCAAAAAGCTAGTTTTTATTCACACATTATTTGGCTACTGAAATTGTGCAATTAGTAAACAGTAGTGTATGGTGTTAAAACTGACACCTTGCTTGCCAGTGAGGTAGCCGCAAATTGTGATATTTCTCAAGAAATCGAGAAGATAATCCGGGTGTGTATAAGGACTGTGAGAACGAACTTTCGTGTTTTCCAAAGCTTAGTATTACGTTAATACATATATTTATTTACTATGCTATATTCTAACTGCTTGATTGGCGCGGTGGATGGGTAACTGGCTGCTGTAAAATGTGTCGTGGGTTCGATTCCCACGCCGACAACACTTTGTGTGATTCACAAATTGCTGTTTCGGGTCTCGGTGGCTTGTGTAGTGAATTTTGGATGTTTGTTAATTCCACCACAACGCAAAAGAAATTGCATTGAAGGGAAGTCATCCCTAATAATCCCTATTAAAATAAAAAATGGATGACGTACTAAAACTGTGGCAAACAGTAACAACTGACCATATAAGAATGACGAAGGCAGATAAAAAACCGAAACCAGACCGTTCCAAGAGCTATACACCAATCTTACTTTCTTCTAAGGTTTCCCAGACAATACTTAATCCACCTTTTTTGTTGTAAGTATGGTACTTAAACAAATATACTTCATGTACCTCTATGTCCTACTCTGTAATCTCTGCAAGTCAAACGTCATTGTCATTTATTGTTTGTAATTATTTTGATTACTTTTTGGTATTTTTTTCTTATACAATTTGTGCATAAGCTACTGGGTTGTAATTATGTCTAATGCGAGTCTCTTCTTACAATGTCTGATAGGCATGCAATGCAAGGACTTCGCCATAATCGCAGCCGACCAGACCAACACACAGAGCATTATCGTCATGAAACACGGTACTTATATAGTTTTGTTTATTTAGCTTTAAATATTAGTATTTCTTGATCAACCAAGGTACGTAGATGTTTTATGAATCACTAGTATGTTGATAAAAAGGAGCCACACAAGAGTATACACACACAAGTGATATACTCCAGATTAGGATTCTGGAGTGTATCCTATGCCAAATTTCATCCAGATCCGTCCAGCCGTTTTGGCGTGATTGAGTAACAAACATCATACATTCTAATAATATATCCAAGGTAAGGTATACATTCAAAACTAACCTGGTCAAACACTAATGTATGGGTAACACTGCTGCTCTGGAGTCTAACAAATACAAAACCCATGAGGGCGGGAGAAGTCATTTGATGATTATTATTTTCGTCTGGTGCCAAACTAAACTTCGGAACACAAAACTCTATCAAATTATTCCACTTCTTTCAGCTGTTGTAATGTAAAAATTAGTATCGGTTTGCAGAATGATTATTATTGTATAAAATATTGTATTGAAATTATTATTTAAACTTGTTGCAATGATAAAATACTAAAGAAATGACACATTGTATCAAGAATGTCATGTTATAAGTTTATGATTAGAAAATACAATACTTTATTAGTTATTACAAACTATATTTTACAAGCAATTTATAGTTTATTGGAGAATATCTCCATTGTAATATCGGTTTAAGTAGCACTGGAATATAAACAATATTACTAATAAAACAATATTATATCTCTTTTCATTGAAATGTATTGATTTATATTGATTTTTCCTCTCTTGGTAGCGTCATTGACGAGTCAGTATCATTGTAGGTATTTTGTTTTTATTCAACACTAGCTTCTTTCGTGCGATTTCACCCGCTGCTTCAGATCCTAGCCTGATGTTTGATAGTTTATAGCCTTCCTCGATAAATGGACTAACAAATACAAAAAGAATTGTTCAATTCGAATCAGTAGTTTCGGAGATTAGCGCGTTCAAACAAACTTTTCAGCTTTATAATATTAGTATAGATGTATAGTCTGTGTTATGCGGCATGCTACGAAAAATAATGGGATAACGGAGATGATCTGCTGTTTTGATCTGATCTAAAGAATAACAATTCGTTTGTTTACAAATATGTATACATGTTTAGATACACAGGTAGATTATATAGCTATGTATCTAAATAACATACTATACAGGTGACGACACACGAGAAAAGAAAATTACATGTTGTCTGTATCACAGGGAGTCAATTCATTTGCTGCTGGTTTTTTTTGGGAGGGGAAAATCATCAAATGACTTCTCCCGCCCAGGGTCGGACGGGAGGGAGTATCAGACTCTTACTGACTAAAAACCCCCGTTTTTTCTCCTGCTCTGGGCCGAGGTCGCGGTGACTCATTGCGCTTACCCCGCAACCTCGGCTGAACATCAGTCCTATAGGGCCCCGTCTGTGACCTAGAGGGCCCCGTCTGTAGCTTATAGGGCCCCGTCCGTAAATTTGCTGCTGGTTCGAATAATGATAACGCATGTTAATGTAACTAAGCCTATACATATAATAATATATTGGTATTGTATTATTAGGTTAAGAAACATATAAAATGGAACGCAAAATTACACAATCTAGTATACGTCTTTCAATTTTTCAGATGAGAACAAGTTCTACGACATGTCAGATCATTTGGTGATGGGTATCATCGGAGCTCCTGGAGACAGGGCTCAGTTTGCGCAGTTCATCGCCAAGAACGTGCAGCTTTATAAGATGAGGAACGGGTACCAGCTCACTACGGCAGCCACTGTTCATTTCACCAGGAAAACGCTGATGGAGGCTTTAAAAACTGGAGTGGGTATTAACTGTTGTGATAACAATACAACTTTTATACTAGAATCTCATATAACTAGGCTTTAAATTACAAGTAGGGGGTGTTTTGGACCTACACAGACGTGGAACAACAAAATAATATGAAACCAATTAAATAAGGAACGAAAGGGCTTGATGTCTTGCAAAGTTAAAAAAGCCTAAACGTTTATTGACATTTCAAAGTATAGTGCTACACCAATGACCAAAGACTTAAAAACGACTCTCGAGTCCTCTCGGAGGTTAAGGCTCTCGCTTCTCATGCATTAGGGTACGGTTTCGGAAACAGGCAAGTACCCATGTGACTTTTTCCCAGTTATATGTACCTACTTTCTATAATTATTTAGACACCACTGACATACGGTGAAGGAAAACATCGTGTGCAAACCTGGACTCATAATTTCTTATTAAAAGTTTCATATCACCAATCCACCTTGAGCAAACGTGGTGAATATAATGTTCAATTCTTCTCTGTGTGAGAAGAGGCTTTTGTTCAGCAGTGGGCGCTTATAAGCTGATGATGTATGATGTATGTATGTTAGGAGTATAAAGTTGTAGACGGTAGATATATTCATTTTCATAATTGGTCTGAACATGTAAATTAAGTATGTGACGAATGCTCCATTGACGCAAGAGATGAAGGACGTGTGTGGTAAGACACTGGTAAGATGCGCTATCTCATTAGCAGGTTGTAAAACATTATCTCTCAAGATTTTCTCAATGTAGAACATTGAGTAATTTTCATATCATTGTTTACTACTGGGATTCCCTAAAGAGAAGTGTGTCGATTATAATTTAGTTGAAGGTTTCGCATTGATCCCTTCTTGCGTACTTTGCTTAAGTACTGTTTAAAAAAGACATTGAACCTGGAATTCATCAGTAGCAGCAGAATTGACAGTAAGATAGTGCAATGTGGGAGCAAATAATACACGTGTTAACTGTCCGATTACGTTGAATTAAGTGTCTAATATTATAACATGTCACGCTGCTTATGGGAAGACGTTTGACACACACTACAATAGTTTGACTATGTAGGTATATGCTTCTGGTGAAAAGGTGATGTTACATGATGCAGTTTAATTAATTTCCGCAGAAGATGTTTCCAGAAGGGTACAGGTTTCTTTGAGTCGCGAGTTGATGGGTTATTTTTAGGCAGGTTCTATCGTTAGCCATAACATCGCTTACCACTAGAAAATAAGTTGGTCAAGATGACGTTATAGGTACTACCAATATCAAATCGAACGCCTGTTTATAAAATGGATGGATGGACATATTCTTTCACTTAAAAACTATTGTATACATTAAAATTAAGTTAGGTACACCGATAGCTTATAGTCTGCAAAATAACATAGGAAACTTAGCAGAAAAGCTAGTAAGTACATATAAATGTGCTTTACAAATGAAAGTATAGTGGGCAGATTGCTAGCTCTGTAGGCAGTGCAGGTACATAGTAATTATGTTTTCTGTTACACTTTCGTCAGTTTGAATGTTAATGTCATTGCTAATTACTGCACAGCCATTTAATTATCTTTTCAAGAGTAAATCGCTTTTGTATTTTAATTAAGCACGTTACTTTTGAAATTATTTTGCGTACCGTAGCAAGTGTTAATTTTTGCCGCACATTATGCTTCGGTTCAGTTCGTGTGATTAATTCTTTTTTAAGTACCAATGTAAATTGCTTTTGTCATATTTTTGTGTGTGCTATTGATTTATGTAGCAGCGCAATAGCTGTTTTTAAGTTAATACAATTCATAATATACTTTTTAGTATTAGATTAAGTACCAAAAATCTAATAAGGTCTAGAAAGATCATTATGACTTCGTAGTATAAACAAAGCAGATTTATCTGTCCCTATATATGCTTAAATTATTCAAACTACGCAACGGACTTTGATGCCTTTTTTTATAGATATAGTGACTAAAGAGATAGGTTTATAGGTACAAAAACATTCAATAAGCTGTAAAAACTTTAGTATCAGCATCGCATTCGTGCAAAGCCGGCGCGTGTCGCTAGTAACATGATAAATGTCTGAGCAAGTTAAGATAAATACTACGGTTTTAGGTACCAAGAGCACCCTCTTTATTTTGGCTAAAGAGTGACATTTGGAAGTTTTTCACAGAGTTTCTTTTTAGTAAAATCAGGCATGGATCTAATTCTGGTATAATAAGTATTACAACACCATATAAAGAGAGTTTCATTCTTCATTCCCATTACAGACGCCATCGATGGTGAACATGCTGGTAGCTGGTTATGACACTGAGAATGGAGGACAGTTGTACACCATGGACTTCTTAGCTTCCAGCTTGAGGGTGCCGTTTGCGGTGCATGGTTTTGGAGGCCTACTGTGCCTGGGTATACTGGACCGCTATCATAAGCCTGGTAAGTTGTTTGAACTCTTGTAAAATAATAACAAAACATAAGCTCGATGTTCAGCTCTTCTCATCCAACCAGTGGCAGTCATAAAAAACAATACCACTCTAATAAATAATATCTCTACGTTGAAATATAAGCTTGGGTTTTTATGACGAGTATGAACGCTTTCAGCAAGTGCTTATGATAGTAACTTAATAACTGTCTAGTTAATTTACACCACAATTAACAAATCTTGTTGTGCAGACCTGATTTTCTTATTGACCTATATATTGGGAATGTTTTTGTTTCGTCCAGAAATGACAGAAGAAGAAGCTTACGAAGTAATAAAGCAATGTATCCGGGAAGTCCACTCGAGGCTGTTCGTGAGCCTACCCAACTTCTTAGTGAAGGTCATCAACAAGGATGGAATTAAGGAGATGCCCATCGTGACACCGGCAACGTATATACTGCAAGCTCAAGCTTAGTAGAAGCACGCTGTTTTGTTAATGTACTAGAGGTTTAAACTAATCATGATGATAATAGATAACAATGAGGTTACCGGAGGCCCCTAATGCCTAACCCCAATAGGTCGGCAACGCACTCGTAAATCCTCCGTCGTTGCAGGTGCCCATGGGCGGCGCTGATTGTTTACCATCAGGTAAACCGTATGTTCGTTTGCCGACCTATCACATAAAAAAAACAATGCCTACATGAGCTATGGAAGAAAGAAACATTGTCAGGACAGTTTCTAAATTTGAATTTCTTGTAACTTTCAAGGTATGTTATGAGGATATGTCTATGATATCTTACACACTTCGCTATATGAGTGTAAAGAAGGTTAATTACATGGAAGTATTTGTTCTGATTGTTATAGCTCATGGCTTTCTGTCTCAAGAGACAGAGACGTGCATCCATCATGTCACTTTAAAGGAGTATTTTTTTAATCCTGTCCTTATCTATTTTCTTTTGAGGTGAGGTTAAAGACGAATATAGTTCGTGTTTAGTCAATTGACAACAGTTTTGAGGTTACTTTTTATAATATTTATTGCTTGATTTTTACAGTTTACGTTGTATATATTTGTATTGTATTTATAAATAGTGTTAATACCACGCAGCAAAAAAACCTGGTTAATATCTATAAGCTCTTTACTAAGTCTATTTAAAGACATCAAGCATTTTTGTACCAAATTGTTTAATAGACTTAATTATGTTAACGAGATCTTGATAGAAATTAACTGTTCTATCTTTGTTTGATGTTAATTAAACGTTTGTGTGCAAATTGTATTGTTTGTAATTAAATAAATCTGATGAAAAATGAGAAGATTGATTTCTTTTTCAAAGCATTCTCCCTAAATCTCCGAAACCCTAATCCCAAAACAGATCAGCAATGCACTCCTGTCCTCTGGTATTGCAGGAGTCCATGGTCGGTGTGAATTGCTTATCATCAGGTAATCCATCTACTTGTTTGCTGTCTTATATCACAAAAAACGTCTTTTTTATTATGGCACTATTAATATTGTGTACATATTTAAGGAAAGAAGATGTGCTAGTACAAGTTACAGTAGCGGGTTGGTAACGGGGATGTTTTATGTGACAATTGTGTATAATGACGGAATATTGAAAGTGTATATTATGTGGTTTAGATTGATGAAGGTTTGAAGCATATTAAAGATTTTTTTCATTTGTTCTGAATGTTTGAATCAGACATTTTACAATTATGTATCTATAAACTTAGACTCAAAAAGTTTTAAAAACCTTTTCAAGCTTCACTGACTAGCTAACACATACTATTCTATTTTTACATTTCAAAAGGACCTATTTTTTGTTTCATTTTAATAAACAATTTTGACTTTGACTTTTTGAAACTGAGATTTACACCCGGTTTCCAAAAGGCCGTTCAAGGTTAAAATCAATTTAATCTCTTTTCAAGTCATCTGATTGGTTGACTGTAATTATCAACAACCAATCAGATGACTTGACAAGAGATTTGACACCTATTATAGTTAGTTGATTTTAACATTGATCGGGCTTTCAGAAACCGGGCATTAGAATCTATTAGGCTCCAATCAAAAACTGAGCCAGAAAAACTTACCTCAGCATTCGAACTAATCAAAACATTAGCTGGTGTTATGATTAAGATCAATATTCATAAGAAACGTTTATGTAGTTTGCTTTAGTCTATATTTACTAAGTACATAAGTAAACTTGAGCTGGTTTTGTGGCGTGCGGGTGATGACCTCGTCGCAGATTGACGACACGCAGACAATACTGGAAATTTCGCAATACGTACTCGTGCTAAATTTACCTGTATCTATATTTAATATCAATAACAACATTGACACTACAAAAACACCACAGAATTTCCAAAGAATGTCTTCGTTTTATCTCTACGCGTCCATGGTGATACTGAAGCCCCTTAACAACATTATATTTACGCGGGTATTAACGCGGAAAATTATAATTTGAATACCTTGGTAGGCTTGACGTTTCGACCCGGTTGCACAGGTCGTGGTCACAAGCAGACTGATACCCGCGTAAATATAATGTTGTTAAGATGAAACGCGAAAGTTTAAAAGTTAGTACTGAAGCCCCTTACTTAACACACTTCCCATTATTAATCTTCTTACCCAAAGCCTATAGTGTTATCTTCGTACTGACACGAAGATAACACTATAGGCATAGTTACGAAACACCGTCATTCATGGAAATCCCATAATTAGGTGAGGCGGCCCCTTCAATCTTTGTCTAATGTGTGTAGGGCAGGGATGTTACCGATTTGACTTTTTGGTTCTAGATAAGGATAAGGTTGCAAATATATCGGCATAATCTATTATGTTAATTGCATCCCAAAATGTTTTGGTAAGCGCATAACTGCCTGGACCATTCTTTTTTTTTCAGTTTACTTTTATCAGGAAAAGGTTCTTATCTAAGAAAAGTAGAAAGGAAAATTCGGAAAACCGACATCGTTGGACCTGTGCAAAGCGGGGGCTAGTATAAATGACGAATACTTTTAATACTATAACGCATACGTTTCTAAGTATGGACGAATAGAAGGATGTTCGTTACTCTTTCACTTACAGCGTCTGAAACAATCCAAATTAAATTTGCCATTGAGATATGTGTCTGGAAAAACTCATGCTACTTTTTCTCTTGGTACTAAGTTGTAAAACAAACGTATGTAGTTTCAAGTCTCATTTAGAACGTACCGATACCCATATCGAAAAACTGCCAGTTTCGGATAGAATATAATTTTGGATATCCGATAGACTCGGTTATAGTTACGGGGTTCCATAACATCCTTGGTGTGGACTACAGATAGCGCTAGTGTGTAAATATGTCTCCAAAGTTGATAATGTTGTACTCACGAACTACGACGCTCTCATTATCACTCAGTACATAAATACGTAAGTAACATCACGCCTCTTATTCTTTAAAGGGACTGATAGAGAGGGCACACACCTATCGCCTATGTTACACGGGAAACTATTTCAGACTCACTAGTAAGAAGAGACGAAATCACGTTTTGTAAAGGAAGTTCTGAAGCCTCTTGTTTGGTACTCGCATTTATGACCACTCGACTATATTGGACAGTCATCCTTATCACTAAATAGTACATATATAAAACAAAGTCGTAGTTTAAATCTTTAAATATTTTTTTTCTTTAAGATTTTCTCCGCCGCGCCGTGGTACAGACATAGTTTGGAACTCGGAAAAGGACATAGGATAGTTTTTAAACCAAAAATCTCAGTCAAGTCACCATTCCACGCGAACAAAGTCGCGGGCAAAAGCTAATATGCATATTTATTAAATTGTGGAGAAATTTAGTACTAACTAGCATTGCTACTGTGCGGGTTGCTAGTCATATTATAAACGCGATGTTGGTTACTCTTTCACGTAAAAACTATTTATCGGATCCGAATAAAATTTGGCACAGAGATAGATTACAGCCTGCCGCTGGCAGAAGCTAGGCAGCACATAAATAGTAAGAGGATATTTTTAAGTTAAGGATGTATTTTATCTGGTCTGTGATAATAGATGAAGGTTGTTAATCAAGGTGATGTGTACGTTTTGTCAACAGGTGATGCTGAAATGGCGTAGATTAGCGAACTTTGGGAATGTGTAAGTAATGCATCGATTTTAGTCAGTAAATGCAATTTGTCTAATACAATGATACTTGTTTCGAATAAACAATTAAATATAATGAGACTGTTTGGCATTTTGGCAGTCTGGAGATGTGTCGAACGCGTTGGTGTCGGATTTGATAGATATAAATCGCGATATTTTTTTTTTTGTTTCGTAAACAGATAGTTTTATATTGAAAATTTCATATCTAGCAAGCAGTGCCATTTGTTTGCATTTTGGAAATTACACAGACAATGTAATTGGCAATTCATAATCGAAACAAGAATAGTTTCTGCAGGCCATTGCTCCCCACATAATAATAACTCAGTATTTCTAAAAAATCTAACATTACCAAACGCACTTTGTGACAATCTCGGCACCACACACATCAACCCTAACGACTTTACATACTTACACACAGTCATAAACAGAACATAATCAACACTTAAGTTTTCCGCTATAAATACCCCATCACACAATGTTTATTCCCTCGCCGTTATATAACTAATTTAGGGGAGGTTTGCTTAGGACCCTTAGACGAGCATAATTTTCTTGAAGCGTAGGATGTTAAACATAATGACCTTGTTATAGTTAATAATTATGCTTATCTGTGTCTTATTTTTTCTTTATATATATAGTTTATAAAGCTTTTAAATAAAGTCGTGTTAAATACATAATTTCAAAATGAGAGGATGACGTTTTTTATGGTACAAGCCCGCCACAACCTCAAAACAACACTGCAACTTCGGTAAGCCGGGGCAGTGGATACACCCATGAAAATATTGAGGTCCGGCGCGTCTCAGGGACATGAATGACTGTCTTGGATCCCGCAACAAAATAAATCAGAAAATATCACTTTAGGAAAAGAAAAAACGAAATAACTTTTCCTCAGTGAATTTTATGCAGGAGACAGAATTAGGTACTTAAACCTTAAAAGCACAAAAGAGACTATGCCACTGGGGGACTACACTACGAAGTTACTATTTTAATAGGACCTTTGCGTGACCTGCTATATTTGTGTTTAGTACTAGGTATAGCAAAACGGCGATAGATTTGTTCTACATTTCACATGGTCCATACAATAGGTAAACTGCACTTGATGATATTATATGTATATATATTTAAATGTTTTATCAGGTGCACTTTGTTATATAGCCTGGAAGCTTTTTTTAGAATACTGGTTTTGTTTTGCTGGACATGCGCATAAGTGCAATAAAATATTAATATTGGAGATACTCGTACCTAAATATTGGAAAATTGAAATTGGAAAAAGGTAAGAGACGTTTGGTATAGTTTTCAAAAAAATCACCAGTTGTTTAGAGAACATCCTGTTTAGAGAATAACATAAACATTAATAGGTAGG